CACAGTGAAGCAAGTAGGGGAAAGTTACCATATTTGGGTACTCCATCAAAGAAATATATTTTTTATAAAGTATAAGTCCGCCAGATAAGCGTGTAAAATAGTTGAACATTTGATAATCATTTATACAATTTTTCAGTTATGTAAACTATTGGGATTTTGTTTAATAGAACGTCCTTATCTTTTAAACATGCATATAGAATTATTTAGAGATGAAATGGTATAATGCCTTAGATTTGCTCCATGTTATTCCACAAGCTGATATGCAGGTAGGCGGGTGTCTAACTGGAACCAGATTTGCTGTGTATTTCAAGTTGTTCATGCTGGGTATCAAGTATACTGGGTTCATTATATTAATTTCTATTACTCTGTATGTGTGAAGGTTTTCCCTAATACAATGTTTTTTTATCATAAATATGCCATTAAAAGTGAAATCCTAAATGAAACTGACCACTTTGTAGAAATAAAATCAATCAGTAACCAAACTGATCCAAAAAGAAAACATCATTTAAACTATAAAAACTGAAACTGTACAACATTCAAAGCTCAAGCTACCCTTAAACATTCCAGGTTAGGCAGTTTTGGAGGCCAATTCTACCAAATGATCAGGGAAAACTAACCAACATGTTATCTCATCTCTTCTAGAACACACAAAATATTGACAATTGTTCAATTCATTCTCCCAGACTAGCGCTCCTGGATTCAAAAACCAGACGAGGACCACATCCCACCCCTTATGGGAAAAAAAAACCACATTAAGTAAGCTCCCTTACATAGCAGTATATATCCTACGTAAATTACTAGCATATTAAATGAGTAAACAGGCTCTGCCCAAGGAAATACCATATGGTTTAACATTAGGAAAAAAAACCTTTTTCATTGTAATTCCTTACATACAAAATGGAGGAGAAAAAAATTTGATCATGTCAATGGGTACAGAAAAAGTTTTTTAAAGAAATTTAATATGAGTTCATCATAACAAAAAAAAGTATTTAACCTATATTCAAAGAGAACTTCCATTTCCTAAAATCAACAGCAAACATACTTAAATGTGAAACGTTCGAAGGATTATCAATCAAGTCAGGAACGAGAAGTAGATGTAGACTATTATCTCTACGTTTGAAATCAGGATTGAGACACAAAGAGCTATAAGTATCAAAATGAGTAACTGGTATGAATATTGGAAAAACATGTAATGTTTACTGATAATACCATTGTTGAACTTGAAAATTCAAAGGAAAAGGTGTGTGGAAAATTCAAGTGCATCGGCCTTCAGAATGAGATGCACAACAGATTACTGTAGCAAAATCAAAATCTTCATCTCACAAAAGCAATAAGTAACTACAACAATTAATAGACAATTTGCCATTTGCAATAGCAACAAAATCCAAGAATTACCTGAAAAGAAGTCTAATGAAAATGTATAAGTCTTTATAGAGACAACTATCAAAGTATACGGACATATTCAGGTAAAAAGAGACTGGAATACATAGAGGAATATAACATACTCATTAATGGGGAACACAACAGTGTAAAAATGTAAACTCAGCTTAAATTATTTACAATTTAGTGCCTTACCTGTAGCCGCCAACATTACAACAAATTTGGGCTGCTGTGTTCTGCTTCCCAAATCAAACCTGGAAAATTACAGAATGGAAACAGAAAGTTAAAAAACAGTATCAGCAACAAAATCTACGTAACAAAACAGAGAAAGCCCACGGTGAGACTGAAGACTGTGTTGAGCTGGTACTTGTGTTTGACACTTGCAGTGCCAGTTGGAGGGGGTTAGCAGCAGGGATGTTGGGGAGGTTTGTAGCCTGCCTAGACCGCAGATGACAGAATGGGTGGAATAAAAGTTTTTAAATTTCCACTTCACTTCATTGCACAGTCTGAGGCAGCCCCTGAAAGCACGATGCCAAGAGCCCCGGGAAACAGCAGGACACCAGGAAAATTGGGTTGGTTAAGGCAGTATGGCTCCAGAGTTCTGCTAACAACAACCTGAAACCAACACTGTGGGAGAGGAATTACGTTTAAAAAAAAATTATTTCAACAGAACACAAAGACTGAAATAGAATAGGATATGAGAGTGAATCATGCATACTAAGGGTAGATGTTAGTTCATAGAAATAAATATACATATTGCTACCTACATATATACTTGTAAGATATGTAAACCCTATTTCTTTGATTCAGAGAATAAATCATTTGGTACCAAAAGTTTGCCAAGTGTAGCTCTGGCTGGGGAGCAGCCCCCGTGGGAAGGTGTGCGTCTTCTCCCAGAGGTCACTACAACCGCGGGGGCTGCTGCCCTGCAGGGAGCACCTGACCTGGGACCCGCAGCCATTCTTTACAAGGGGTGCAGCTGTGCAAATGCTCAGAGGTGACAGAAACAGAGCATCTCCTGCCCATCACTTCATTCAGCAGCCAGGGGTGAGGAAGAGGACCCTACTGAGTGAGGACTGAGGGTCCTCCCCCGCCGCCCCCACACACATAGAGGGACCACAGAATCCAGCTCAGCCCCTCTTGTCAGCCCTGGTAAACGCAGGCAATGATGTCACCCCGAACACAGCCCTTCCCCCAATGCCACTTCGGGGGGACTCAGAGTCAGAGACTTGGTCTGAGTGGAGCAGAAACCATTGGCAGATGATGGCGGTCCTGACTCAGCCAGGCATCAACTTCAGGCCCCTGAAGGATGGCCGAAGCCTCCTCCCACCCCCAACTCCCCTGATCCCACCAGGACATACAGCCTCAGGATCCCCATCCCAATCTCTACCCCTTCCCCCATCACCATCTTCGTGCTCACCCCCATCCCCATCCAGATCCCCATCCAGGCCGAATCCAGTTCCACCCCTGCTGTGAACCCAGGGAAGTACTGTTGCCCGGATGTGACATCACTGACTGCGCATTGGCGGTCAGACGGCCGCGAGATTCTCGCCCTGAGCAACGGCCTGATGTCGGCGGAGGGAAGCACGCCCAGGCTTGGTGAGGAGGCAAAGTGAGACGCTGAGGGAGGACTTAGGCGGGTCTCATCCCAGACAGAGGGCCCCAAATAATCCAGCACTGCCTCTACTGCCCGGCCTGGACCACTCTGCAGGGGAAGACTTCCAGGCTGGGTCGCCACCTCCTTACCCTGCCCACCCCCACCGGTATAGCCACAGGGAACTCTGGAGACAGAGCTTAATGTGGCCAGGGCAGGGCTGGTGAGAAGAGGTCAGGGCCCACGCTGTGCCAGGAATCAAGGTCAGGACCCCAAGAGGCGACTGAGGGCAACCTAACCACCACCCCCACCGCCATTCCCATCCCCCAACACCAACCCCACCCCCATCCACCAACACCAACCCCACCCCCATCCACCAACACCAACCCCACCCCTATTCCCCACTTCCAATTTCCATCCCCACCTCCACCCCCATCCTGGCAGAATCCAGGCTTTGCGCCTGGTATCAACTCACAGAAGCTCCGGGAATGGCGGCCAGGTACGTGAATCCTGAGGTTCACATCTACGGCTAAGGGAGGGAAGGGGTTCGGTATTGTCAGTATGACCTTTGGGAACCAGCGAAAGGGCCCAGGCCCTCCTGAAAGACAGTGGAGTCCTGAGGGGACCCAGCATGCCAGGACAAGAGGCCCTCTGTACCACTGTCTCAAACTGAGGCACCTTTTCATTAGGCCACGGGAATCCTAGGCGTGCAGAGCCACTTCAGCAGGGGGTTGGGGCCCAGCCCTGCGAGGAGTCAAGGGGAGGAAGAAGAGGGAGGACTGAGGGGACCTCACAGTCCAGATCAGTGGAAACCTTGGACTAGGGGATGCTGGGCACAGTGACCGAATGTGCCCCATGCTCATTGCACCTTCAGAGTGACAGAGGGTTGAGGGCTGTGGCCTGGAGATTGGGACTTCAGGTCAGCAGAGGGAGGAATCCCAGGATCTGCAGGACCCAAGGTGTACCTCCATGGGGCCCCCATCTGGTTGACAGATGCAGTGGTACTAGGCTCTGCCAAGCATACAGGTGGGGAGCCTGAGGGAGGACTGAGGGTACCCCTGGGCCTGGGACAGAATGTGGACTGCGGGCCCCAAAAAATCTACCCTGCCCCTGCTGTTACTCAGAGAACCTGGGCAGGGCTGTCAGCCGAGGTCCCTCCGTTATCCTAGGATCATTGATGTCAGGGAAGGGGAGGCCTTGGTCTGAGGGGACTGCACTCAGGTAAGTAGAGGGAGGCTCTCAGACCCTGCCACGAGTGGAGGTGAGGACCAAGCAGTCTCCTCACCCAGGGCACATGGACTTCAATAAATTTGGACATCTCTCGTTGTCCTTCCTGGGAGGATCTGGGAATGTATGACCAGATGTGGGTCCCCTCATGTTTATCTGTACCATATCAGGGATGTGAGTTCTTGACATGAGAGATTCTCAGGCCAGCAAAAGGGAGGGATCAGGCCCTATAAGGAGAAAGGTGGGGGCCCTGAGTGAGCACAGAGGGTGCTCACAGAGGGAGCACTCCACCCCAGTAGAGTGGGGACCTCACAGAGTCTCGCCAACCCTCCTGACAGTTCTGGGAATCCATGGCTGGGTTTACTGTCTGCACATTGAGGGCCCGTGGATTCTTCTCCCAGAAATCGGGAGCTCCAGGAACAAAGCAGTGAGGACATGTCTGAGGCAGTGTCCTCAGGTAACAGAGTAGAGGGAGCTGAGATAGAGCCAACAGTGAAGGTTTGACTTGAATTCACACCAAGGGCCACACCAGCCCCAGAACACGTGGGACTCCAGAGCGTCTGGCCTCACCCTCAATACTTTGAGTCCTGCAGCCTCAGCATGCGCTGGCCAGCTGTACCCTGAGGTGCTCTCTCACTTCCTCCTTCAGATTCTGAGGGGACAGGCTGACAAGGAGGACCAGAGGCACTGGAGGAGCGTTGAAGGAGAAGATCTGTAAGTAAGCCTTTGTTGGAGCCTCCAAGGTTAGTTCAGTTCTTGGCTCAGGGCTCTCACACACTTCCTCTCTCCCCAGGCCTGTGGGTTTCCATTGCCCAGCTCCTGCCCACACTCCTGCCTGCTGCCCTGACCAGAGTCATCATGCCTCTTGAGCAGAGGAGTCAACACTGCAAGCCTGAAGAAGGCCTTGAGGCCCGAGGAGAGGCCCTGGGCTTGGTGGGTGCACAGGCTCCTGCTCCTGAGGAGCAGGAGACTGCCTCCTCCTCTTCTACTATAGTGGAAGTCACCCGGGGGGAGGTGCCTGCTGCTGAGCCACCGGGTCCTCCCCAGAGTCCTCAGGGAGGCTCCACCCTCCCCACTGCCATCAGCTACACTCTCTGGAGCCAATCTGATGAGGACTCCAGCAGCCAAGAAGAGGAGGGGCCAAGCACCTTTCCTGACCTGGAGTCCAGCTTCCAGGCAGCACTCAGTAGAAAGGTGGCTGAGTTGGTTCATTTTCTGCTCCTCAAGTATCGAGCCAGGGAGCCAGTCACAAAGGCGGAAATGCTGGAGAGTGTCATGAGAAATTGCCAGTACTTCTTTCCTGTGATCTTCAGCAAAGCATCTGATTCCTTGCAGCTGGTCTTTGGCATCGAACTGATGGAAGTGGACCCAGTTGGCCACTTGTACATCTTTGTCACCTGCCTGGGCCTCACCTACGATGGCCTCCTGGGCGACAATCAGATCATGCCCAAGACAGGCCTCCTGATAATCGTCCTGGCCATAATCGCAAAAGAGGGCGACTGCGCCCCTGAGGAGAAAATCTGGGAGGAGCTGAGTGTGTTGGAGGTATTTGAGGGGAGGGAGCATAGTATCTTCGCGGATCCCAGGAAGCTGCTCACCCAAGATTTCGTGCAGGAAAACTACCTGGAGTACCGGCAGGTGCCTGGCGGGGATCCTGCATGCTACGAGTTCCTGTGGGGTCCAAGGGCCCTCGTTGAAACCAGCTATGTGAAAGTCCTGTACCATATGCTAAAGATCAGTGGAGGACCTCACTTTTCCTACCCACCCCTGCATGAATGGGCTTTGAGAGAGGGGGAAGAGTGAGTCCGAGCACACGTTGCAGCCAGGGCCAGTGGGAGGGGTCTGGGCCAGTGCACCTTCCAGGGCCCCATCCGTTAGTTTCCACTGCCTTGTGTGACATGAGGCCCATTCTTCACTCTTTGAAGAGAGCAGTCAGCATTCTCAGTTTTGGGTTTCTGTTCTATTGGATGACTTGGAGATTTATCTTTGTTTCCTATTGGAATTGCTCAAATGTTCCTTTTAACAGGTGGTTGAATGAACTTCAGCATCCACGTTTGTGAATGACAGTAGTCACACATAGTGCTGTTTATATAGTTTAGGAGTAACAGTCTTGTTTTTTATTCAGATTGGGAAATCCATTCCATTTTGTGAATTGTGACATAATTACAGCAGTGAAAAAGTATTTGCTTAAAATTGTGAGCGAATTAGCAATAACATACAAGGGATAAAGAACTGAAGACATTAAAAGATAGTTAATTCTTGCCTTATACCTCAGTCTATTCTGTAAAATTAAATAAATATGCATACCTGGATTTCCTTGGCT